ACACATTTGTCACACATCACATGACTTCTTCACATGTATGTATTGACTATTTAGGTTTTGGGCATATGCTAGGTCATAGCGCAGCACCTTTTATTTGTTAAATGATCTTTAAAGCTGTCTGTAAGGGTGGCATTCAAACCATCACTGTTATGGGATATTCTATTGACTTCCAATGTTAGGGGCATTTTGCTAATGGAAAGTTTTTTCAAGAGCTCCTCTGGGGTAAAAAGGTTGAGAAAGGCTGCTCTACACAGTAAAGCACTATGGGGACCATTTTCAAAAGTAGGTTTGGGGTTTACATACACTTTAATTGATATACTATGATAGTTCTCAACTATGCCTGATTTCTGGTGAAAGAAAGAGTTCAAATAATAATGCAGTATTTTGGAATCCAGTTGAGGATTAAAAAAAAATCTTTATTTATAAACAAGAAACATACACAGGGTACAATGCAATCATTGATTGTTTAACACATACATTATAACAGGATCTTGAACAAGTCCCTGGTAGCTGACTAAACTGCCATAGAGCCTTTCATGGTCACTCAGCAATGAAGTACTTACAAAACCATGAGAAAGTATAGAGACCTCTTGCCACCTAGATGACCTGAGGTTATTTAGTCACATACCTAGTCTGTTGTGGTGCCAGTGCATTTTTTTCTTTTAATGGCTTTAGGGAGAGACACACATAATTAGAGATGTAGAAACTTGTGGTGGGAAAAGACTGGTTGCAAAGGAGGGGAAGGAGTCAGGGCAGATGACCAGCTGAGCATTTTTATTTAAAACATATTGGCTGAAGGATGTTTTTATATCTGCCTCGAGTTCTACTTTAAGTTACTGATCACGAAAAGTGATTATTCTCTGGCTTTACTATATTTATATGTAGTATTGTTACTTCTGAGGTCTGAGTCATCCATATTTATGACACTGAAGACCATCTACATACTGGCTTCCAATGTCCAGTCAAGCTGGCCCTGCTTTAGGCAAAGATCCCCTAAGTTTACCTGTGGCTCCATTTGGAATATATTGCCAGTCAAGGTAATATACGTGCACATTTCTGCAAGCATATAAGGCTGATTGCATTAGATTGGATTCAACAAGGCAACGAAATTCAGTTTAGTATCTAACCAGAAATGCAATAAGCAGTACAAAATATACAGTGTCTGCAATATGTACAAGATGGACACAATTTATGAATATAATGTACAAGTACTATCAATATGAACACACACACACACACACACACGTATATTTCGCATGCATCTTCACTGCTGCTAAGCCTGAACTCTGCACAAGTTCCTTGCTGAATGGTATTTAGTCTTGCTCCTGTGGTCCTGATACTCATCCTGATCCTGTTACTGACCCAGCTTCCATCTGACCTGCTTTCGGATTACCCTTGCCTGTTTGTATTTGCTGTTGATTCTTGTTAATGACCTCAGCTTGGGCTATTGACCATGCTTCTGCCCAGTGAATATGTGCCTTGCTACCTGCTTGTTGATGACCTCTGTCTGTTCCGGATTCCTATCCTGCCTACAGCTTGGTGTTTTTCCACTTGGCTATCACTAGACCCAGCTCCACCTTTAAATTAACTTGTCAAATCCACGTGACCACTGACAGCTGTACTTCTGCTCACCTGATACCTGTGCTCTCAATTTCCAGCCCACAGCGTTGGCACCTTGACTTTCTTTCACCCCTGCAGACCCTGTCTCAACTTACAGGTGTGCTTGGAACGGAACTACGCAAGAGACCACCCTTGTCATTTCTGGCTCTGCATACAGGTATATGACAGTCAACTGAATTTTTGCAAGAATCTAAATATTCAATGTTAAATTATTAAATTACAGCATTTATCCCTTAATCAGCTGTACTTTCTTTGTCTTAGCCCGGCACATCAGCTGGGCTGATGGGTTTAGCTATCAACTGGAATCCGACAGTTGTGTGCCTGTAAGCTACCCTAGTTGTGGGGCTCTTTTATAGAACACTGGTATGTGTTCAAAGATTTTGGGGACAGTGTGTGAGGTCAGACATCTGATCAGCAAACAACTATCAGACTTCAGGTGACCTCTGAACCCAAGTTCAGGCAAAGTAACTGAAGCTTAATTAATGGTCAAACATAAATATTCCATATTTATTCCATTCATATATTCCAAATATTTGGCTGCACAGACTGGGTTACTATAAAGTGGCTCTGCCCATTCAGGGCAGAATGGCTGTGTTGAAAGAGCTAACCCATAACCCATTGATACTCACCTGCCAAGATAAAATCAAGGTCTCATCATAGCACAGATATAGCAGCAATATAATCCACAGAATCCAGATAGATATAATATCAAAGGATTCTGTGGGCTCAGGTGCTTCCCAGCAATTGAAAAAAAAAAAGAAACATAGTTCAATTGACTCCACAATAAACAGCTGCCATAGCTCTGTGACCTTGAAGCATGTAGCCAGCTGATGAGGATGTAACAATCAAACGTGCTCTGTTCAACAAGGAACAAAAGATACAAGGAATCAGCTTCTGTTTGAGTTTAGTACAGTCAACAATGGATACATAACATAGCACTGCATCCTTATAGCATGTAGCCAGTTGTACAAACGTAGCAATCTATTAGGTATTCTTTTCAGCAACAAAAAACAGCAGATACACAGGTTCTTCACTTTTGTATTAGGCCTTTTTACACAGGGAGGATTCTAATTTAGTCAACAGGGAATCTATCTGCTGAGCAAAGAGCAGAGCAGGCGGATGACAGGTACATGTCCATTCAGTTTACGCAGAGTGGACTTGACAGAGCCCGCTCTGTTCTATGAGTGGCCATTTGTAAATGGACTCCGCTCTCTGTTCAACTGACTGCTCTCCAATCTGATCCAGCTAGATGGAGGGGGACGGATCCCCTTCTGGTTTTTCTTTTTTTTTTGTGGACTGGATTGGCTTGGAGGCAGGTGGGTGTAAACGGACACAAGAGGCCACTGGTCCACAGAGGTGAATGGAGGGTCTGATCAGATCTGCTTGAAAAACTGACAGGAGGACCTGAACAGACCCTTCATTTGAAAGGGGCCTTAGCTTAATGCTGATACCAAGGGCTCCAACGTAGGGGCAGTTTCTCAAAAGTAGCATGCTATTGCACATATACCCAGCACACAGCTCTGCTGTTTGTTACTGGATACTAAGCGCTTCATGAAGATCACAGTCATTATCATCAATCATACTGATTGATCTGATTCAGAGCTGCAAAATGCAGGTAACTGCCATCCAATTGCTCCAAATTGAAGCCAGATTATAAGGAGCACTGTGGACACTCAATCCCAAGTATGAGAAACCATGCTACCAACTGCTAATAAGGAGAGAGAGAACTTTGTTCTACCCTCTGACACCGTGGTCACAGAAACACCATGGTGGATTGCAACATGTCCTGTGTTTGGATATACACACACAAGTGTATATTAATCTTTCATGTTGAGATCAGAGAATCTGGCAGGAGGCTGCATATTTTTGGAGGATTCACAATTGACACATTTGTATGTGGACTGATTTTCTTCACAGTACTCACTTGGACACATTTATCGAGCACTTTATTGTACTGTGTTTTGCAGGCATGTTATTTGTGTTAAATAAAGTAGACCATTTTGGTCCAGTTTTGATTATTTTTGCACTGTTGTACTTTTCATGGTTTTTGTCATTTCAGGCAACTATTGATGGTATTTTATAAGATTCAGGTCACCTTAGGTAATTGTTGATGGTATTGAGAACATACCATATTTTTAGATTAGTATACAAGCTGTAGTGCTCAGGCTATTGCGGTAGTTGCACTCTTGTGTTACAGATTTTCATAATTTTATGTCCACTAAGCGCAGGGTATACACATTTTTTTGAATAGTGGGAAAGTCTCGACCTACTAAGGGAATCATGTAGGCTGTCTGTGAAACATGCTCAACTCAGCTAATTGTCATTTTCCCCCATTCCAGGGATCTGATCCATAAGCCGTATGTGTCTCCTCAACGCCAATACAGCTAATCAAATCCCTGCATTTTATGGATAAGCCAATCTAGACATTGTGGGCTGTGTTGAAAGCCAGTCCCGACATCATAATTCCAGTATAATGGTCATGCATGGAGGTAGGGGATAATGTGCAAGCTACCACCAACACATTCACTCTGTATTTGCTACAGACATCAGATGCAGCACAGGAATGCAGAGGATACACACAAAATTGGGGATACATTAGGTGGTATATGCAGGCTGCCTATGGATCAAATCCCTGGGAGGTGGCAGTAGGCTGTATTGAGGGTAATGTACCTATGTGACTCCCTTAGCAAACTGGAACTTTTCCATTATTGGCACTTGCTAGCATGGTTTGCCATACACGTTGAGTGTTCACAGTGCTCATTATAGTCTGGCTTCAATTTGTAGCTATTCAAATTGGAACTTTTCCATTATTAGCACTTGCTAGCATGGTTTGCCATACATGTTGAGTGTTCACAGTGCTCATTATAGTCTGGCTTCAATTTGTATCTATTGGATGGCAGTTATCTGTATTTTTGCAGCTCTGAATTAGATCCTTTGTATGACTTACGTACACACTACCTTAAGAGACTGATCTTCATGAAGTTCTTTGATTGGCTGAGGTGAAGATTGTGACACCATCCACTCACTTCAACTAGAGGAAGTCTTGTATCCATTTGAAAAATAAAAAGCTTCTCCTGAATAGCAGAGATGCCCTAAGACCAACTTTATTTCTGGTTTTAGCAACCAGCACCAATTTGGAACAGGAGTACTTGCATAAAACTAGCCATTTGCTGGTTTTAGTTATTTCTTTTTTCAGAGAAATTCATTATCCCTGTATTAAGCTACAACACAAAACTTACATAGGGTTTGTATCCCGGCCCTGACCATGGAACAGAGCAGTCAAGTGTTATGACTTACAGGATCCCTGCCAATCAGATATGGGTAAAGAAGGGGATGGGCTTGGACAAGTTTTCCACCTACTGGTCGTTTTCATGTCTTACCTACAGACAGGAGTATATTCCATTTCATAGCATATGGAAGTCTCCTCTTCAAAGCACTCTGGATCAGCATTACAGTGACAGTACCTGCAAAATAAGTAAGAATATGACCTTTTATTACAGTGTGTTTCTCAACCCTTTTCAGTCAAGGCACCCTTTAGAATTGTGCACAATCTCAAGGCACACCAGTCCGAGGGCTCATTCACAACAGGAGATGCTCGGAGTGCATGTGCTTTCTTGCATGTTCCCAGGCATCGCATTTTTTTTTTTTAATGGACTGCTCTATGTATAGGAAACACTGAGGTACCATGCATTTTAGCAGGCACAAATGCACGTGCATTTGTTAGATATGCGGGATTGCCATTAGGAATGGCACCTGTGTACTCCTGCAAAGGCAGTGCGTCTTTGTGCGGTGCTGGAAAACGTGCAATTTCACATGCGCTACCACACTGCTCCTGGTGTGAACAAGTGCTAAATGTAGATTGTGAGGCAGGGTTCAGTGGTCTGTAGTTATAAATCCTCTGCCCCCAAATTCCCCCTGCTAGCACAAATACTTCCCCCACTCCTACACAAATCCCCACTTCCCCCACCAAACCGGTCATCCCAAATGTTTGTTATCCTTCCCCAATTGTGCCACAAGTACATTACCCTCCCCAATTACCGAAATTACCGGTGGGGCTGGCTACAAGTGTTGTGACAGCAGCAGAGAGGAGGAAGAGCCAGGAGGTTATCTGGGGTGTGCTCTCCCCCCCCCCAGCTCCTCTCCCTCCTGCCTGTATACAAAAGATGAAAAGAACTCTCAGATCAGACTGTACGAGGTTTGATTACCTCCCCCTACACATAATGTCTGCTGTTGGGACACAAGCAGTGTGGGGAAGAGATAGGGGATGGTAATCAAACCCTGTACACTCTGATCTGAGAACATTCTGTTTTAACTTGTGTGTACAGACAGGAGTGAGAGAGCACAGCCTGCACCTCCTCCCGGCTCTCTCCTCCTCTATATAACTACTGCTAACTACTGTCGTCAACCCAGAAAGTATACGGGTGCCTGACTTGTCCTTAGCAACAGATGACAGCATCGGTTGGTAGGATGCGGGCGGCTTTCACAGTACAGAGTCCACTGCATTCCAATTGGAATGCACATGTCATCTGCTGCGGGGGTCAAGTCAAAGTTAATAACACCCCAAACACAGGTTGCAAACGCATTGCATTTGCCCCACACAGGACAGCATGATACAAAAGTACCATGCTATGTAGTTACTGTATGTTTCAAAAAGTAATGCATGCGCTACTTCTGGTGCAGTGTGATTTCAGCTCATTCAAAATGAATAGGGCTGAAATTGTACTGCAGAGAACTGCATGTGAATCTCACAGGAACCGCACAGCATTTCTGTTCGATTCACATGCAGTTCCTGGTATTAATGGGCCCTTAGCTGGGGCAGTATTTTATTCATCCCTTTTGCTTGGGCATCCCTGAGAACTCCTCATGGCACCCCAATTGAGAAATGCTGTTACAATATATAATGATATATTATAGTCTTATTATTATTTATACAGGATTTATATAGCGCCAACAGTTTGCTCAGCGCTGTACATTATAATGGGAGACAGTACACGAGACAGTACAGTAACAATATGATTCAATACACAAGGGGTTCGAGGGCCCTGCTCCTTGGAGCTTACAATCTAGGAGGGAGGAGAGAGTGGTACAGGAGGAAATAGCTGTGGGGGATGGAGTGTTGGGAAGAGCGGAGGAGATCAGCAATTAGGTGAGGGTGGGGTAGGCTTCTCTGGGTGCACCTAAAGGTGAGGAGGGTAGTGACAGTTGATGGATTGGGGTAGTGAGTTCCAGACGATGGGGGAAGCCCTGGAGACGGACGGGCATGGGAGGAGGAGACCAGAGAACTGGAGAGTAGGAGGTCTTGTGAGGTGCGGAGAGTGCGTTTTGGGTGGTAGATGGATATCAGGTTGGTGATGTAGTTTGGGGCAGTGTTATGAATAGCTTTGTACATCAATGTTAATATTTTTAATTGTATGTGTTGGGCAATCGGAAGCCAGTGGAGGGATTGGCAGAGGGGGGTGGCGGATATGGAGCGGTTGGTGAGGTGGATGAGTCTGGCTGCAGCATTCAGGATAGACTGAAGTGGGGATAGCCTGTGTTGGGATAGGCCGTTGAGGAGGAAGTTGCAGTAGTCAAGTCGTGATATAATAAGGGAGTGGATGAATTGCTTAGTAATTTCTGGAGTTAGGAACGTGCGTATTTTGGAGATGTTGCGGAGGTGGAGTCTGCATGAATTTGTCAGGGATTGGATCTGAGGCTGGAAAGACAGATTGGAGTCTAGAATGACACCTAGTACTCTGGCTTGCGGGGTGGAGCTGATGGTGGCGTTGTTGGTTGTGATGGAGAGGTCAGGGGGGGGGAGGGCGTGGGCTGGGGGGAAAACTAGGAAGGTTTTGGCAAGGTTTAATTTGAGGAAGTGGAGTGACATCCAGTCTGATATGTCGTTCAGTAGGCTTGTGATACGGGCGGAGACTGAAGGAGTGAGGCGAGGGGTAGAGAGAGATAGATTTGAGTGTCTTCGGCATAGAGATGGTAGTTGAAGCTGTGGGAGTGTATCAGTTGACCAAGGAGGAGGTGTAGATGGAGAAGAGAAGGGGCCCGAGGACAGAACCTTGGGAGACCCCAACAGAGAGGGGGAGTGAGGGGGAGGTGGCAGCGTTCTAGGTAACACTGAAGGAGCGTTGAGATAGATAGGAAGAGAGCCAGGAGAGAGCGGAGTCTCTGAGGCCAAAAGTGTATAGTTTTTTTGAGGAGGAGGGGGTGTGATCGACCATGTTGAAAGCCGCAGAGAGGTCGAGGAGTAGTAGCACTGAGTAGTGGCCATTGGCTTTGGCGGTTAGCAGGTCATTGGTGAGTTTGAGTAGGGCGGTTTCGGTGGAGTGTAGGGATGGAAGCCAGATTGTAGGGGATCAAGGAGGTTGTTGTCGGTGAGGTGACATATCACTGAAAGGTAAATGCCTGCTGATCTCTGGTGTAACGTTTTACAGGCTCTTGCAACCAAAAAATAATAAATGCACATTTCTTTACCAGTAAGAAAATGTGCATCTATTATTTTTGGTCAAAAGGTGAACTTATCCTTTAAAGGACACCACTTTAAAACTCTAAACCCCAGAACAAAGATATAATTTATTGCAGCTCACAGTCCAGAGATGTGGTGGCTGCATTAGTTTTCTTTTTTTTTTTTAACCTGGTGATATTGCCAATAACACTTCCTGCCTTAGGGTGAACAGGTAGTATTGTTTTTAATATTCATTCAATAGTATATTTAAAAGACCAAATGGAGCACATATGAGGGGATTGTTAGGACTTACAAACAATTTGAAAGAAATATGGAAATGGCCATCACTATTTCTTATTTTGGATATCAGGCTGTCATTTTGACCTTGTGTTTCAAATGAGTTATTGATAAAAGGAACAATAAGGACTTAAGTCAGACTTTCCTAATCCGCATACGTGTTCCTGGACAGTGACTCAGTATTGGAATGTTGCCACCACTAAGAAGGGATTTTCCTCACTTTTAACCTACAGGTAAGGAAGTGAATGAATATCTCCCCAGTGAGACATATATGGCAAGAAACAAGAAACAGAACAGCAGTTTTAACCATTCCCTATTCTATTTAAAACTAAAATGCAAGGCCTCTGTTGTGATCACTGTGCCCAGGCCGCTCAGCACTGCATGAGAGTCAGCTGGAACATGAAGGAAAGCGCTTTTCTGCTCAGCTGACTCTCTGGCAGCAGGGGAGAGAAGTAAAGGAGATGGGGGATGATTGGGAAGAATGGACAGCTCTGCAGTGGACACAGTGGGGCAATGAGCCAGAGAACAGGCAGGGGCATAAGCTGAGGGATCTGAAGTCTGTACATGCATGTGTCCCACATAGCGATGGATGGGATTGAGAAAGTGAACACAGCAGGATAAGATAGGAAAAGGCAAAACGAGAAACGATGGGGACGGTAAGGGCATTAGTGGGGGTCAGACAGACAGGAAGGAGGAGAAGAAAACAATAGTGGTGGCAGATTCAACTGCTAGCAAAACAAAAAACTCTGACTTATGAATTAACTCCAAGAGAAAATGAAACCATGCTGACAAAACATTATTATACAGGATTTATATAGCGCCAACAGTTTGCTCAGCGCTTTACAATATAACGGGAGACAATACAGCAACAATACAGTTCAATACAAGAGGGATAGGAGGGCCTGATCCTGGGAGCTTACAATCTAGGATAACTCTAACTAACCTTTTATATCACCAAGGATGTGTGAAGAAATATCACCACCAGGATAAGATTAACAGAAGGAAATGGTGAGTCAATAATGCCATATTTTATAGCTACAGGGACAATCCATAGTATACATTTTATCTGGGATCACTTTCCGTTATAGAAAGGTTCAGCAAATCATGTTCTTACCTGTGACCAAAGTGACCACTCCTTTCATAAAAGCTTGTGACTGACATGATGCATATCCTGACAAGCCCTGAAAGAAATAGTGTCAGTGAGCATATGAGTGACATTCACTGCGCTGCAAATCAATTATCTGTCAATGGCGTAAGTGATGTTCTCATGTTATTCAAATATTAAAGCCCAATTCCAGCCGAACTGCCTTTATTTTTTAGTTCTGATTGAGTTCAAAATTGTCAAGCCCCTAGGGAAGATTGTCCCTGTTTACTGATCCTTGTGACACCCATACATGAAATGGGGAATGCAGTTATCATCAGAACAGGAGTAAAAAAACAAAAGTATCTGAAGTTATACCTACAGGAAATACCAAAAAAAAAAAAACAGCCCTGCAGTGGGCAAGATGTCATAGATACTGACTCTCAAAAATCGCATATTTACCAGTACATGGAGTCCATCGCTGTCCAATTTTTCTCACAGTTGGGGGTCCATGGAACTACCAACTTGGATTGGGGAGCTGGCTGTGACTTCCTACTGAATCAAAGTTGGCTCCCCATTGCGCGAGATCATGTGACAAAGAAGAGTGCTTAAACTTTGATTAAAGTAAATATTACAGTTTATTTTTTATTCCGTAAATTTAATGATCATTTAGCTTGCACTGCAGGGGGACACTACTGCTCATCTCATGAATGCGCCGTACATTCATTTTTTTTTTTCCTTTTTAAAGCCTCCCCCCCCCCCCCCCCAGATTTTGTGAGATCTTAGGGGAAAGTTTATCTTTCTTAAGAAGAAGAATGTAATGTCATATAGTGCATGTCCAAGAGCAGTGTGAAATCATGTGCTCCCTCATGCACAATATGACAACACATGATCTCTGTTCATCGATGACATTGCTTTTTCCAGGGGCATTAGTGCGGCTATGAGCTCTGGCATGCTCAGACATGAGTACAAACCGGCCACAAAGCTGTCAAAGTTGACAGCCAGTTATAGGCAGCGAACGCATTCCCCCCGACCCTCAGCTGCACACATATACATGCGACTGCAGCATGGGAGATTCTTCCACTGCTTACGATTGACTGTCTGCTTTGAGAGCTTCCTGATGGGATAACTCAGGCAGGTTTGTACTCGTGTTTGAACATGTCTCAGCTCATATCCTTGGACATCTATGGCCTTCAGGGAAGCCAGGAAGTGGACACAAGAAAGGTAAGTACTGTAAACCAATAAAATACAGTGTTAGATGACTTCACATCACCATGTAAAGATGCATGGGGAAAGGGTCTGTTTAATGTACCAGGCCGGAAGTGGGTCATTAATGGAGGCAAGTCAGTGATGCTGGGATCCCCATTCCCACCTGCCCCAGCATCCTTCCTTGAAATAGTTTAGAAAGCCAGGGGGCAGTAAGGAGCACAGTGGTCACATTATTAGTAGCCAGTACCCCCCCCCCCCCCCCCCGCGTTGTTTGTAACAGCTAGGTCTTTGTGCTGAGAGAGTGCAGCAAGTGTGCTCTCAGCACATAAACAATGGTTACCCAGCGAAGCATTTTTGCACTGTGTGGGTGCTATATCCCACCGTTTTGCTGCTGTACATACACTAACTGGCCACTGTATTAGGTACACCTGTTCAATTGCTTGGTAAACAAATTGCTAATCAGCAGCAATGCATCTAGGCATGTAGATGTGGTGAAGACAACTTGCAGAAGTTCAAACTGAGCATCAGAATGGGGAAGAAAGGGGATGATATAAGTGACTTTGAACATGGTGTGGTTGTTGATGCCAGACGGGCTGGTCTGAGTATTTCACGAACTGCTGATCTACTGGGATTTTTACGCACAACCATCTCTAGGGAAATCGAGACTCATCAGAACAGGCAATATTTTTCCAATCTTCTATTGTACAATTTTGGTGAGCCTGTGTGAATTGTAGCCTCCGTTTCCTGTTCTTAGCTGACAGTAGTGGCACCCGGTGTGGTCTTCTGCTGCTGTAACCCATCTGCTTCAAGGTTTGATGTGTTGTGTGTTCAGAGATGGTGTTCTGCATACCTTCTAGATCTATGTTTATATTCAACCCCCTAGGGGCCAAAGAACCTAATTGAAGAATCCACTTTGTCTCATTGTGTGAGATCGACTTCCTCATATCACTGCGCCAATGGGGTTCGACCCTGTTGATCCCACAGAATTGTCCGTGACAATGCCTTGTGGGAAGGTGAAACACGTTGACGTACCTTCCGGTTCCGACTCTGTACGTGTGACGTCATATCTGCTGGAATTGTCAGAAGGGCTATTGGAACAAGTTTAAGGAGTCCTGATTTATTTACAAAAAGGCTTTATATTCAGTTATAAAATGTGAGTGCATTTGGAGCATCACTTGAGTATTAAAAGTTTTTTTAACAGTATTACACTATTTTGGTATCCTTTCTTTTGCATTTTTCATCCATCCATCCATGAGAATGAATTCGGGGTAAACTAAGGAGGAAGCTTGGAGGAAGTTAGGGATGGATCATCATCTGTGATTTGGGAGGCATATAATTCCATGAAAATTGGTGTCTAACCACCTTATGTGAGTGTAAGGAAGGCTTTTTTTTTGGCACTTTATATATTATTTTTATCGTTCTATAGTAATATACATTTGGCATCTTTTCTTTCATGAATCATCGCTATATGTGGAAATACCTGGCAAGGAGAGTCAGTGAGAAATCGCTTAAAGCGTATTACAACATCTGAGGATACCACACCCCATGTCAGGGTCCCCCCCATCACTCCCTCTCTTCCCCATTGCATGTCCCTGCGCCCACACATAGCCCACACAGAGTGGTGAGATGGGCACCAGGGATCTGCCCCCTGCAGTGAGGTTCGCACCCCGCTGTGCCTGCATGTGGATTTCATACATGCAGGCCACCTGGGTGTCTCCCCGCGCCCCCCTCCCTTTGTCTCGGCGGGCACATTGCAGCCCTGAGGTTCCCCGCGCTCAACGCCCGGTGGAGACAAAGGCCGCGCTCACTGTGCATGGCCGGAGTGAGGCGTGGGGCTTGTTGCCCCCGGAAACCCGACGCCAGGCCGGCCGTTGCAAGCAGGAAGCATCCTGCTTAGGCGATAAAAGACAGGGGAGTTCGTTCCCTGCTCGCGTGAGAGAGTGCTGTGAGAGGTCTGAGCTGCGGCCAGACCCTACAGCCAAGACCCTGCAAGCTGAGTGCCCCTGCAAGCCTGTCTTCTGTGGAGTGCCCCTGCAAGCCTGCCTGCTGCTGTGTGCCCGGATTACTCATTCCCTGCAAGCCTGCCTTCTGCTGACTGCCCTAGCAAGCCTGCCTGCTGCTGTGTGCCTGGATTACCCATTGCCTGCCATCCTGCTATGCCCGGATTCTCTTTACCTGAACTGCCCCTCTGCTGTGTGCCTGGATTACCCATAGCCTGCCCCTCTGCTGTACCCGGATTCTCTTTACCTGAACTGCCCCTCCGCTGTGTGCCTGGATTAAGCATTACCTGCCTGAACTGCCCCAGACTTACCCTTGCTGCACCGATCAAGTGTCCCAAATCCCTCAATAAAAATCTTGTGTACCCACTGTTCTCCACGTGTGTTCTGTCTCGCCTACACCTCCATCACACCCCACCTGCAGGCTTGTCTTTTTGTCTCTTAGGGCTCGTTCACACTTGGCTGTTTTACCAATGCTTGGCAAACGCCCCTATAGTGTTTGGCAAGCGTTGGTCCGGCGTTTGCGGAGCGGTTTTTTAACGCTCGGCAAACGCCGCATGCGCGGTTTAGCGGCAGTTGCTAGGCATTTGCCGAGCGTTAATAACGCCCCACAAACGCCTATAATGCAGTTTGAGTGGTGTTACCGCTCCGCAAACGCCAGCTGGGCGTTTGTGGAGCGGCACCATAGACGAGAATAGGAGGCTTCAACGCCTCCTGACTCAACCAGAGTCGTCCGTTTTGCCGCTACGCAAACGCTCCCGTTAGAACAGCACCATGTGCTGTAATGTGCAGAATTGGCAGAGGCGTTTGGGAAGCGGTAAAAACGCTTCCCAAATGCCTCTCTGCCGCCTGCACACAACGCTAGTGTGAATGTAGCCTTAAAGCTATATTAGTTCAGGAGTTCACAGTATTTGGCGAGAGTGGATGAACTGTTTTTTTTTCATTGAAGATGTGATCATGCTGGAAAATGTATGAAGTTCGAGCTACAGTTCTAATAAAAAAAAATTTTTTTTAACAAATTTTTGGGACATTGGACTTTAATATATATTTTTTCACATTTTTATTATTTGTTTTATTTGCGCTGTATCACTTCTATGAGTATAAATTGAACAGATGTATCTAATAAAGTGGCCGGAGAGTATGTGTTGGGTGGTTATAAAGGAGTTAGGCTGGGTTCAAACTGACACGGTGCGGAATTCGCAGTGTGTTTTCTGTGCGAATTCCGCACTGCATCAGAATCGCACTCCTTTCATGCAAATCAATGCGGGTGTGTATTTTAACAACACCCCGAAATCGGTCCCTAAAACATGGTGCAATGTACAGAATCTGATTGCATAGGTGTGAATACCCATGCAATCCGGATTCTAGTGCGGACCCAAAAAAAAAGGGTCCTGCACCTTTTTGGTGCTGTGCGATTTGAGCCATACAAAATGTAAGACTCCAATCGCACCACACACAAATCGCATGTGATTTGCACAAGAATGCGGTGCGGTTTCTGTGCGAATCACATGCGATATAGATTGTAAGCTCCCAGGATCAGGCCCTCCTATCCCTCTTGTATTAAACTGTGTTGCTGTATTGTCTCCTGCTATATTGTAAAGCACTGAGCAAACTGTTGGCGCTATATAAATCCTGTATAATAATATAGTGCACCGCATTAGTGTAAACCTAGCCTTAGGACTCGTTCACACTTGACTTTATTTCTAACTCCTGCCAAACGCCCCTAAAGCGTTTGACAGGCATTTGGGAAGCGTTTTTAACGCTCCAAAAACGCCATATGAGCGGTTTTGAGCCGGTTAATAGGCATTTGCCAAGCGTTAAAACCGCACCACAAACTTCTATAATGAAGTTAAATGATATTAACGCTCTACAACCGCACCGCAAATGCCTGTCAGGCGTTTGCGGAGCGGCACCATAGATTTGAATGGGAGGCTTCAACTCCTCCTGACGCGACGCATCAGTTTTGCCGAGATGCAACGCGGTGCTAACGTTTCTGTGTGAACAGTACTGTGTGCTGCCATGTGCAGAATTTTCATAGGCGTTTGAGAAGCGTTAAAAACACTTCCCAAAAGCCTGTATGACACCTGCTAGCAAAGCTAGTGTGAACGTAGCCTTAAACTAATGACAGGTCCTCTGTGAGCCCTTGGTCTCATGACTCAGATTCCAAGAACAAGTCATCCTATCTCTGTATATCTCTACCCAGTGAGTGAGTCTACGGATATGTGGAGGTCACATTCCACAATGTACACTCAGCAACAGCAATGTGCCCAACCCCATACCACAGACTACATGTCTCAGCATACCTCATCCAGCCTGTCATCACCAAGTCCTACCAACCCCCCCCCCCCCCCCCGAGGGTTCACCGTACAGAAAATAATCTTTTTGATAATTAAAAAAAAAAAAAAAAAAAAAATATATATATATATATATATATATATATATATATACATACACACACTTTTAAATATCTATTTTATAGTTTGTGGGGTTTTTTTTTGCTTCTACTTTGCTTACAAATATATTGCAAATACTTAAAAAAATTACATACATACATATATATATATATATATATATATCATATAAAATAAAATAAATACTTTTAAAAAGTGTCTATATTGCATTCACTGTTTTCTATTTGATAGTTGTAGGTTTGCTCATGTAGGCATGTCCCCTGCTGAGACTCGTAGTTCCTGAGGATTGGGGTCCCTGTAATCTGCTGATAAATCTGCAATACATGTCCTCAGATAGCCCACCCACTCCACACACCGGATGCCTAGCCGCCACCTCATCGTCCACTCGCGATAAGCCCAGGTTCACCATCGAGCTGATCTCCTTCTCCGTACAATGCAATCTCTCCTTCAGTTACGGACGGGAACACTTCCGGGTTTCACTTTGATCTGTGGAGTCAGTGGGCAGCGCCACCAGAGGTGAGGAGGACACATTACTATAACTTCAGGGACTTGGGAGAAAATTCACACCATAAAATATTATTATTACAATATAAAGGGAGACAATACAGCAACAATACAGTTCAATAGAAGAGGGTTAAGAGTGCCTGCTCCTTGGAGCTTACAATCTAAAATAGGGTCATTTTTTGGCTCTCTGTACCAGGAAAACTAAAAAAAAATCGAGGGTGTTACACCTGCGCTGACAAAAGTGTTTTTTTTTTGCTCTAAAATGCACAATAAACACGGATAGTGCCTTAAAAGTGTGGTTGTAAACCTCAGATGTGAAATGCGAACAAAACCTAGCCCTCAGTAATGTACTTGTCACAATTAAGAGCAGAGGATTATTTACCTTATATGGAGCGAGCTAAATATAATATAATGCCTATAATAAAGCTTACCTATAGGTAAAATTAATAGCTCCTAAACGTGCACCGTTTGGGAGATATTCACGTTTTTTGACCCACATGGAAGAAAAATATATTTTAAAAATATTCTTCCCAAATATATTGACATATATTTTAAATGTCGCAATTTTTGCCATATTCAATATATTTCAATAAATAAATATATATACTGCATGTTGAAATGCGTTTTTTTATTAAAAAATATATGAAAAATATTTTTTTAAATACATTTCAAATATACTGTATGTCTTTAAAATTTCAAATCTACATTTTTGGGATGCATTTACAAATATATGTAAAAATATATGTTAAAATGAATTTTTAATATGTTTAAAAAAATCTGAAGAATATATATTTTTAAAAAATTGTTTTAAAAATATATATTTTTTAAATATATTCTTCGGATTTTAACATATTTTTACATATATTTGTAAAGGCATCCCAAAAGTGTAGATTTGTAAAGACATACAGTATATTTGAAATGTATTTTTTTAAATATTTTTTCATATATTTTGTAAGAAAAACACATTTCAACATACAGTATATATATATACATTGAAATATGTTTTTAAATATAATGAATATGGCCAAAATTGTAGCATTTCAAAAGCTCATTAATCCGGAAGGAAAACCAGGTGAAGATGGAAGCCTCGGGAGGGGTGACAGCGCACCACTGAAGGGCTTCGTTTTAAGGCAAGTCCTTCATAATGTGCTAGTATGCGACACATACTAGCACATTATGACATTACCTTGCAGGGGATTTATTTATTTTAGGTGTGGTTTACTACCACTTTAAACCCTCCGTTTTTTAAAGCACTTTCAGCAGCCGCTGTAATCACTTACTGAGTATGCAGCTTCTAATCCTTGCCTATGTTCCAGTTTAAAATGACACTAATGCAGGCCATAGATGGGTCGAAAATCAGCGGATTTTCGCATCGTTAGTGGGTTAATTGGTCGGCCGTTTTTTCGGGGTTTTGGCACATTTTTTTTTATTGGTAAAGTTGGAAAATTCGTGGCTGATTTTGATGATTGGCTGATTTTCCCAGCAATGATGGGCAAATCGGCCGATCATTTTACCGATAAAAAATCTGCGCATGAGCCGTGACCTGCAAGAAGGAGAAAAAGAAGAAGGAAAAGAAGAAGAATTCCAGTCCGCTATTATATTTTATATGAAAAGTCTTGCGGTTGCAACAATGTATCTATTTGTATCCGAATAAAAACATCTGTATCCAAAATGGATACAAATGGGTACATTGTTGCAACCGGAAGACTTTTTCATGTAAAATATAATAGCGGAGCTCTCTGCAAGGGACAGAAGTAAAAATGACGGCCATAGACGGGACGAAAATCGGCCGATTTTTTTTTTAACCGTTGGTGGTAACATTGGCTAATTGAACGACCGTTTTTTTTTCATTTTTTTTTTTTTAAATGGCCGATTTTTGACCCGTCTATGGCCTGCATAAGACTAGGTTCACACCTTTACAGTTTGCATTTGATCCATTTCTGCAGTGCGTTTTTGCATTTTTGCACATGCATTTTTAATGCATTTTTTAATTTTTTTTCCAACTTGTTTCTGGGCAGATTAAAATGCAAAACGCGTCAAAAATGCATTTCTGCAGCGTCTCTATTGAAGTCTATTGAACCAAAAATAATATTTTGCATGACCTGACCCTTTCCAAAAAACGCATCGGGTGAAAACACGGAGATGTGAATGTGCCCCATAGGAAATCATGTTAAATGGACTGTAGTGCGTTTCTGCAAAACGCACCGCAAATCGCTTAGGTGTGAACCTAGACTACAGTAAATATGTCTATACTAAACACAAACACTTACCTGCTCTGTGCAGTCATTTTGCACAGAGCAATCCCGATCCTCTTTTTTTGGGTCCAGGACTCCTCCCCCTCAAGCAGTGCCCCTAGGGAATGCCGCTCACCCTGGGGGCACCGCTGCGTGCTCGTCCCCGAGCCACTGCTCTATTTTTCCATAAGACACATAAAGCCATGCTTGCCCTCCCCCTGCTCTTTCCTCATTGGCTCACTGGCTGTGATTGACAGCAGAGGGAGTCAATGGGCTGCGGCTGCTGTCTCAGCCAATGAGGAGGAAGAGTCCCCAGACAGCAAAGGCTGTCGAGAACGTCACTGGATTGGAGAGGGCTCAGGTAAGGATGTGCACACAGAAGGTTGTTTACATTCATGCATAGGATACATAAAGGTAAAAGACCTTGAGCCTTTAAAACTACTCTATGCTGACTGCTGCTAGAGGTTTTCCTGTTTTTTGGGTGGCTCCTTTCTCTTGCAGCATCCTATAGAGCAGCGGTTCTCAACCTGGGGGTCTGACCCCTTTAGGGGTCGAACGACCATTTCACAGGGTTCGCCTAAGACCATCGGAAAACACATATTTCCGATGGTCTTAGAAACCGAGACACCGCTCCTCTGTCTCAGGCGATGTGTGGGGGCGGGATGATATGCTGCCGCTGTCACCTGGCCACACCTCCGGGATCATTCAACAGCTCAGCCTCCTCGCCGCTGATTGGCCACCGGAACTGTAGCTCAGGAGAGGCACACAGGCGGCCAATCACCGGCGAGGAGGTGGAGCTTGGAGAGGAGGAGCCGAGCGGCAACGCGCGTAGATCAAAGAAGATCGAGGGAGCTGCCGGAGCAAGTGAAGAGAGCGGCCAGAGAAGGAAGACAGCTGACAGGCAAGTGCAAATTTTGCTGCTGCAGCCAGGTATGCTGTCTGTAGATGGGAGAGGGAGAGAGCGAGCCCAGGCTGGAGCAGGAGTCAGCAAGGTAAGTATCATTGGTGTCAGTGGGAGGAATAGTGCCCCATCATTTGTGTCACTAATACCAACGATGAGGCACTATTTCTCCCACACATACACCAACGATGGGGCAGTATTCCTCCCCCCACTGACACCAACGATGAGGCAGTATTTCCTCCCCCCACTGACACCAACGATGGGGCACTATTCCTCCCCCCACTGACACCAACGATGGGGCACTATTCCTCCCCCCACTGACACCAACGATGGGGCACTATTCCTCCCCTCACTGACACCAACGATGGGGCACTATTCCTCCCCTCACTGACACCAACGATGGGGCACTATTCCTCCTCACTGACACACCAACGATGGGGCACTATTCCTCCCCCCACTGACACCAACGATGGAGCACTATTCCTCCCCCCACTGACACCAACGATGGGGCACTATTCCTCCCCCACTGACACCAACGATGGGGCACTATTCCTCCCCCCACTGACACCAACGATGGGGCACTATTCCTCCCCCCCCCACTGACACCAACGATGGGGCACTATTCCTCCCCCCACTGACACCAACGATGGGGCACTATTCTTCCCCCCACTGACACCAACGATGGGGCACTATTCTTCCCCCCACTGACACCAACGATGGGGCACTATTCCTCCCCCCACTGACACCAACGATGGGGGCACTATTCCTCCCCCCACTGACACCAACGATGGGGCACTATTCCTCCCCCCCCCTGACCCCAACGATGGGGCACTATTCCCCCCTCACCCACCACACTGACACCAATGATGGGGCACTATTCCTCCCACTGACACCAATGATGGGGCATTATTCCTCCCACTGACATCAATGATGGGGCACTATTCCTCCCACTGACACCAATGATGGGGCACTATTCCTCCCACTGACACCAATGATGGGGCACTATTCCTCCCACTGACACCAATGATGGGGCACTATTCCCCCCCACTGACACCAATGATGGGGCACTATTCCCCCCACTGACACCAATGATGGGGCACTATTTCCCCCCACTGACACCAATGATGGGGCACTATTCCCCCCACTGACACCAATGATGGGGCACTATTCCTCCCACTGACACCAATGATGGGGCACTATTCCCCCCCCCACTGACACCAATGATGGGGCACTATTCCTCCCACTGACACCAATGATGGGGCACTATTCCTCCCACTGACACCAATGATGGGGCACTATTCCTCCCACTGACACCAATGATGGGGCACTATTCCTCCCACTGATACCAACGATGGGACACTATTCATCCCATTGACATCAGTGATGGGGCACTACTCCTTCCACTGACACCAATGATGTGGCACTACTCCAACGATGGGCACTATTTCCTTCCTCCACTGACACCCACTGCAAAATTACAGTTATGAAGTAGCAACGAAAATAATTTTATGGTTGGGGGTCACCACAACATGAGGAACTGTATTAAGGAGTCGCGGCATTAGAAAGGTTGAGAACCACTGCTATAGAGTCACTCTTGTATGTAGGGACTAGAGTTTTCTCTCTATGTTTATCAATAGAAACACAAAGTCCTTTGCCTATGATGGAAAGGCACTGTCCTGCTCCGTATTCCCTACTCTCCACTCCCTTCTCTATGCTTATCTGTAAAAAAAATGGAAGTTTAGGGAAGCAGTATTGAGAGAGAGCAGGAGC